GAAATAACAAATTCAGATTTGGATTAATTCTCCAGGATTTTAAAAAACTCCAACCATCTTTTCACTAAATATGGATTACATGCCAGAAGATACCATGACAAACATATATGATCAAGTATTAAAATAAATAATACTTCATGTTACTAGTCCATTTGTGCATCAAGAAGAGAAGCTACTTGTAATACTACAAAATTATAATAATCATCAGTTGTACCGTCCAGCTCAATGTATACTCTGACTCTGAGGGAAATATCAAGATTTTTTTAATTTTTTGTTACCGGTAACCTAAAAGTTAATACTAAGACGTGATTTCAAATTAAATTTTTGGATGGCTTCATTTATTGAAAAGTAACAAGCCTATTGAGGGAAATCTCATTTAATTATTGGAGACAAACAAAACAAAAATATGTTGAAATTGATATAAATATAATAATCATATATTTGACCAAACCTGTGATAAAGCTATGTCGGATGTTTGATGTTAAAAGCTATCGTTGTTTCTTTTATAAACCATATTCAATTAATTCATTTTACAAGAGAGTGTTATTGCTGACTGTTTTCTTTAAAATTGGTAAAAGAACAGAAATTTTTTTTTTTTTTTAATGATTCTTTTTATTAATAATTTTTGGGATAAAAATTTAAGCTGAAGTGATTCAGTTTTTTAGATACAGCAGCATGTATTGGAGGGTCTTGTCTTAGTATTTACTTGAAATAAAATCAACATAAGGGTTAAAGATATAGGCAAAGTCAATAGTCCTGGGATTTCAACTGATGGACAAAATTGCCACTTCCTTAGAACTTCAATTTAAGTGAGCATTATATTGGTGTAATAACAATGTCAAGTTGTCTGGTACTGGCCTAATGGATGGTAGTCTTAATTTGGAATGCTTACACATATTATTCAAAGGAAAGTTGAGGTGTTAAACATTTACTATTTTAAGCCGTTTCAGCAAAGAAGTTCATTCCCACATTTCACCATTTCCAATCATTTAGCTACATACAATTTTAATAGAGAAAATGTTATTCATTTTTACTCATTGTCTTTTAATACAAATTCAATTTGCAAGAAATCAAATATTTTTTCCATAAATCATTTCATTAAATCAGACGATAGAATTAAAGATGTTTTTTCTTATGTGTGCAATTTATTTAACTTTTTAAACAGCTTTCTGGAGTAAATGTTAACTTACTCTCTTTGTCAATGAAATTGTAGATTATAATTCTATCTTTTAATTCTTGTCATCAATATTATCTGCACACCGGTAGCCTACAGCAAATGAACATTTTATTCAAGAAAATTGTTTAGTATTTTGAGGTAACTAACAATACCACATAGATAAGCGATTTTACACTCAGACCCATAAGTGGTCATTCAGAATTTTGTGTACCGATTTTTCAGCATAGCTGATGTCACGTGACATCATGTAACTTAAGCTGACATATAATTTGTAACTTTCCTTACACTAGGAAAATAATACTAAATGATCAATCTTTTCCTGATAAAAATATAAAAGACTGACTGAATAATAATTAATCATGCTTTAAAACAGAGGTCTGAAACTTAAGTCTTACGCCGACTGCGCCAAACATGGCACAGAGAACAGTTTTCGATGGCATGTAAAATACAAAGAAAATAATAATAAATGGCTATAAGAAAGGTGATTTAAAGGAAACTTAAAGGTCGTTGGCACACTGAATAAGCTAGAAATCCAACTTTGACACATTATTACCAAAATGTTGCTTACCCTTGCTTTAGGATATGAAAAATCTCACAAACGACTACACCTTTATTCCTACTATAAGTGTGGCACATATCAGAGATTCTCTTGAACAACTTATCAGATGTGTTTCTATTAGTTGCAAGCATATATACATTGATTGAGCTCACATTGGTCACTTAGGCTACATTTGAAATAATTTAACTGTAGTTGCCTTCGTATGACCTGTAATATTTGTCTAATCAAACAAAAATCCAAGGTTCTGTACTGAAAACTCATGCAGAGCTTACAAAGTCCCTCTCTAATCCTAATGTACATACTGTTGAACTGTACAGTTCACAAATTTTCTTGACTTTTTTTTACAAGAACAGCCCTTGTTCTTTTTTTTTCTCTATTTAAAAAATAACTATATCTCTGCTGTAAAATATATTTTATATTTAATTTTCCTATTAAAAATGCTTTTACTTTTTCCACTAAGATGATTTACGTCTGCAAGGGAACAATATTGCATATTTTTATGTAAACGTAAAATATTTAGGACTTGTTACAGGTCATTGTTTATGCTACTAGTGCTTCTTATGTTTCAATTACTTCTGTAGTTACTTGGATTTTTTTCTTTATCTTTAATGTAATATTTTAGTTACATTTAGATGTGTCTCTATAAACATATATCATTCAATCTTACTCAATCTACTTAATCTGTGTACATAACAAAGATCAAGGATTTCCCCCAGAACATATAGAGAAGGGAACTTCTTGACTTAATTTATCCATATCAAAACTGAACTGACTAATTTGCTTGTTGGTCAACTTGTTTATTCTTGACAATGTAGAGTTCTGTAGAGTTTATCTACACTCTGAAAATGTCTCTGAATTCAATTTGTAAATATTCATTTTTTTAAAAATAAATAATAACCTTTTTTATTTTTGTAGATTGTAGGAATGATACAAATGGCATAATGACAAATGAAAAAATAGCTCAAAAATTGAATTATAAGAGAAGTCCCAAATTTTGTTTTAACATATGAATCGGTTAATGTGAAAGTAAGCAAAGTAAGCGTAGCTGTGCATAATAATCTTAGATAGGAGGAGAAAAGTGGAGTAGATAGGGCTAGTGCCACCCTGGGCTGGCAAATATTTCTGTTAGCCCCTTCACCCTCCCCCCCCCCCCCCCCCCCCCAATCTTTATACAAGAAAACTCGGATATTGTCTGAAAATGCTGCTCTTCAATAAATAGACAAAAATTGTTGCCCAGTTTTTCCCTACTCCAGTGTGTGACAGGGGTCATTAACCTTTTAGTTTGTGTTGGGTTCTTTGTTTTTTTTTAAATTAAAATAATTAACCTGGGGCTGTCTCCTAACAAAATCATGTCAGGTGCCTGAATATTTCACCCAGAGATCTCTTTCAGGTTCAGACCTATTTAATTGACAGATTATCTCTTTAAGGCAGTGGTTCTCAGTCTTCCTAATGTCGCGACACTTTAATACAGTTCCGAATGTTGTTGTGACCCCCCAGCCAAAAAATTATTTTCGTTGCTACTTCATAACTGTAGAGCATATGTGTTTTCAGATGGTCTTAGGCGACCACCGGTTGAGAACCGCTGCTTTAAGGTAAGATCCCAAATAATTATTAATGTAGGGATTAGCTTGAATAAACATATCATTAAAGCATTTGAAGATTTTATCAATTAAATACATAAAATAGTGAACCATGACCTAAAAGTAAAATATTTGCAATGCAACTTTGCTTATTCTCCCAGTTTTTATCTAATGTTAATATTATTTTAAAATTTTGATGTTGTGTTTTGAAATTTTAAGATATTGTGATTATTTTTATCTTCAAACAAATTTATTTAGTAGAGCTAATAAGCCGATTGGATTGGTGAAAATTTAAAAAAATAACACTAATGAAAAGGGTTAGTATTTAAGTTAAGAATACTTTTTTTAGTGACATTTTATTTATAACAATAGAAGTTTCAGATTTTTCTGTCATTTAGTTATTATGAAAACTGTGTTCATAAATTATCATATCATGTCCAGGTGTCTTTTATATACATATATATACACACATATAAATCAATGTTTTACCATGCATATCATGTTTTATAACAAAAACTATATAAAATGTGTTTATGACACAAGTTTTAATCTACAGCGTTGTTACTATTTTAAAAAAAGTGCAATATATGTAAGTTTACTTTTTGTACAAAAAGTAATGACATTTACTTATTCTTGTATTTTACAAAATTTAAACCTTCAAAAATTATTTGTACCATGTGATCAAACATAATAAATATAACCAATCACCTATCCCTCTGTTACATTCCTTTCAATCACAAACAATTTTCGTCATGCCCCATGAGACCATGTCTTTAAGTAAGAAGATTAACATTACATTTGTATTGATGACTTATTTTTGCAGTAACTGTACATAGAACAATTACAACATGTTTGTGCTTTTATCTGCCAACGGTTACTTTTTGCTCATTTTAGCTGAAAAGTGAAAAACGGAAAGAATTCCATGAAGGCTACCAGTTGTGAATGATATTGTTTTATATTTAACTTATTGTCAAATGGAGCACTGTGTGTTGAATTTTGTCAGTTTCCAGCACTTTATTTTAATGTTAGTTTAGTTATATGTCTTAAGAACATGCTTTGTTAAATTCATGGCTACAATTTTTTTAAATTTAAAAACAAATTTGTGACAGAATGGTTGGTGTACTTAGATGATATGATTTTTTTTTTCAGAAAATATTTAAAATTAAATTATCAGAAACTGCTAACAACTTTTTGGAGGCCTAGCCATCAAGTGATGATTGTCCTTCATTGCTACACAAATAATTTAATATATTGATTGAAAATTCAAATGAAGTCAGGAATCAAAGAGCATTTTGTTGTCACCTTTTGCTGGAAAATACTTTTACTTTGCGGAGCTCTTACCTTAGGGGTCGTTCGTAAATTACGTCATGCTAAAAATGACCTTTAGACCCCCCTCCCCCCTGTCACAAAGGGTCAGAAATTCTTTACCGTGTCATGTCACACCTAAAAAAATCAAAACATACATAAAATTTTCATAACTAAACTAAGATTTTATTTTAATCTTCAACATTTTCCCATAATGGATTAAGATGTTGTATTATTAGAAAACTGAGTTTCATAGTACCTATAATACCTGAGGCGATTTCGACCTCAAATCAAAGTTTTTAAAATTTATTTAAATAGATTTTTTTTTTTAAATTAGAAAATTTTCTTGACACCCCCCCCTACCCCCTCACCCCCTCTGAGCGTGATGTAATTTGCCAAGGACCCCTTAATTTAGTTTCAAGTTCTAGGAATGATTATTGAACCATACCATGGTAAAATATTATTTTATTGATTGGTTGGGAAATGTAAAAAGTTCAAAAGAAATTATTATCTTATCTCTAAAAAGATTTTTCTCTGTCATCACATTATTTAAGTTTTATCCCTTAGAGATACACTGTATGAAGCATACAATGTTTAAGATGAAAATAAATGCACGTAGCAGTAGTTTTTACAAGGAAGCTTGAAAAGGGGGTTCACATGTTTCAGTATTTTTTAATATCTTCCATATACATATTGTGTGTTTTGTTCTTCTAGTTTTATTGGTCACAATGTGTATGAAGAGAATTTGGTGAGGTTAATGTGACTGAGTGCTGTCAAATTTATTTTGTCACTTCTCAAGTTGAAAACAGGTTGTTAAGGTTTTTTTTTTTTTTAAATTTACTTTTTAATATTTTTCAGTATCTAAGATTAACCACCCTTCTTAAATTTTTATTTAAATTAATGATGTTATTTTGATTTGATTTTTCCTCCTATAAAATGTTAACATTTTTCATGATCTGAAATTATTTCAGATGAAATTATGTAACAAAACAATCTTGTGTAAATTTTAGTGTAGTGATAAAAAAATTATTTTTCACTAGAGTTGCGAAAAAACAAATGCTTCATGAAATTTGGAATTATTTTGCTTTTTTTTCCAAATTTGAAAAATGTTTCTGCAAACTATAATATTTATTTATATTTTGTTTAAATTAAAATAAATTTCTTTCTCATGAACTGTTACAATTATTAGGACATACTGATGCAGTTAGATTTCTTTTTTCTAGAATTTACTAAAGTCAAACAAAAAAAAATCATGCAAATGTAAAAATTTTCAACAAAGCACAGTTTATCCCACCCCAACAAACATGCCTGAATAAATCAAAGACGTTTGTGATAATGGTGGTGTATGTGATACTTGTAAGTGATCAAGGCAATTTTTTTTTCATATTGTAAAATGAAAAATTGATTATTGTAATATAGAAATGTTATTTGTATTTTGAAAGTAAAACAACAAAAAAATACAAGAAATGATAATAAAGTGTTGACTATTTGACACATTATTATTTTGTGTTTCCCTTTTCTGTGACAAGATGTCTGAATGTCATGGAAATTACACCCTGTTTCAATGTGAGTTATACATTAAAAGAAATTGAATCTGGCTCTCATAAGAAATATTTTATTTCCAATAGGCATGCAATCAATCACATTTACAACATGTCCTGTCAGTGTTCCTGAGTCTCTCCCTTCATTTGTTCTTTATTTTGGTAGTCTTCTGAGCATAATAATTTTTCTAGGGACACCTACGAAAAAGTATTTAGGTGTGATAAACAGGAATGTCTGTACAAAATATTTAAAAGGTTCAGATTATAATGACATAGAGTCTTTGAATAAACCAAACAAACTTTTTTAAGACTTATTTAACAAATCTTCACAGGCATACAGGGATAATGTGGCCTCCCAAAATTATTTCATGACCTAAAAATAAAAATAAATTTGAACTATTTATCATAAGCAATTCTTGGTGAGCTGCATGACAAAATAGCATATTTACTCTTGTACAAGCATACCTTCTGCTATGGAATGCACAACATCAGTACTGAAACAATTTAGACTTGACACGTATTCTAAAAAGGAATCAACACTTCCTCCAACTCCAAAGTAATACACTTTTGCTGCCAGTAATCTAATTACAGTGTTAAGGAATTAGAACAAAAAGTTTATTGCAATGACAAATTGGTTGTTTATTTTTTTCAACTTACCAATATCATTTTAATGATATGTGCTCATATGATAGGATAAAATTTGATAGCATGAAATAAAATGGACTTTGCATGGTCTTCCTTTTTTTCACAAGTTGTGCTTGCTAATCAGATTTAAGATAAATGATATGAAGTCAACCATATTCTTAACATGTACATGCACAGTTGTTTGGTTTTTTTAACCTCCCTTGAGGGAATAAAATAAAAGAGAAAAAAATTTAGCATAATTATGTAAATATCTATGCTTATAGTAATACGAGATTGGCAAGTATTTGCAGAAAGTGTCCTAATGAAATATCGAGAGTGCATTTATTAAGACTTTCTCAGATAGATGGACTAAAAGGGTCACTGAGACTGAACTTTATCTGGGATTTAATTAAAAGTGTATTTACTTTTGGGAAAAATAGCTTTAGTTTGTCAAATTTAATCCACAAGACCAGTAAGATCAGATTTGGGAATTGCTTCCTTAATACTACAGTTTGAAAAATTACTTAGAGTGATGTAACTTAAACAACTAGAATCAAATTCTTATTCTTTTTAAATTTACAATCTATCAACGCATTGTCACTGTTTACTCAATAAATGCATCTAGCATCATTAGAAATATATTTAATGTAAACTTAGCAGAAATATTTTTCAATGAACTACAGCCAATAGTTAAGTGGTTAATGTTTTTTTAGTTGATTTGGCAATAAATTTTGTATGCCTTATATATTTTTTTATTATTTATTATTTGCTTGAAATTTGGGCATTTTTTTGGGGTAGCCACTAAACTGAGCAGCAATTCTCTAAGTTTTCTTTCTTTTTTTAAAGTTCATCTTCATTATCAAATTGATTCAATAGAAAAAAAAAGGATACATGATTCCATTTTCTTTAAGTGTTGTTTTAAACACATCATGGAGCTTTGCATAATTTCCTGGATTGTAGATGGTTTCAGCAGTCAGTATGACATCATACCTGGAAATGATTTTGTTGTCAAGATATGAAAAAGTTGTTATGCCTCAAAACAGAAAGCATATCATTTTTGTATTGGGCACTAACACAATAATAGGTGCAATAAAAATAAAAAGAAATGCATTTAAATTTAAAATAAAAAAGTAAAGAAAAAGTAGGGTGCTATTAAAAAAAAATTTAAAAAAGAAGAAAAAGTAAGGTGTTATAAAAATTTCTTTTTTTTTTTTAAACATAAAACTCTTTAATATGTCTTTAAAATCTTATTGTTTTAAAAAAGAATTAAGATATTTAAATAATGTTTAAGGGAAACTCACCTTAGATTTTCTTTGACTGCCAGTTCACTGAAACTGGCCCAGTCACCAGCATAAAAATGGTTCTCTAATTTATTCTCTTCGGCTTCTGGTATGTTGTTTTTAACATTTGTGTAAGTAAGCAATTTTAGGACCTCCTCATTCTAAATCAAAAAGTACAAATGTCAGGTGTTTTTTGTTTTTTTTTAAATAAAAGTTGTGCAGTTATCGGTAATGAATAGCAAATATATGCAAAATGCTCTATATACAACTGACCAGATACAAAAGAAAAAGCTGCTTTCAATCCCATTTTTAAAACATTGATTATTTACTTAATAACTTTTTTTTTTTTAATTCTTCATAAGAAAGGTAATGAATTACATAGTCTTGAAAGTCAACTCTTTGGGCACACGCCTTACAACAGTAGAGTCCTGGTAGACCAGCACCACAACCAAGCTGAGAAAGTTTTCGGGGAAAAAAATATTTGATTTGGTTAAGCAACATTTTGTTTTAAAAATAAGATTAGTAAAATAACCAAGAATATTTTAGTCCTTAATTTTGAAAAAACAGAATATTGATCATTTTAGAACAAAAACTGACATACCCTACCTCAAGTATAGATTTGCCTTTAATTTCTAAGGAAGTGCCATGGGGATGTGAAGATAGAAATTTCACCAGGTCTATTCCACACTCCCAAACCTTCAAACCACCTTATTTTAAAAAAACAGTACTATATTCACAACTTTGGTAATAGAAATTTTATTATACCCAATATTTAAATAAAAATGTATGTTAAACTTTGGTAATTTTTGTTCAGGTCTACCTTTAATTTTAGGAAAAATTAAGTAGTTTGTGTGCACTTAAAAAAGTTCAATCTTTGGAAAATGAATTATTGAAGATGTAAATATTTAAAAACGGTCATACATAAAAAATATTCTCTATTCATTATTTTTGTTGAGCCTATGCTAGATTTTTTAAACAAATTGACAAAACATCAATATTAAAGTTCTTAATAAGTTTCAAAAGAAATTTATTTACCTTCATAGGCCCCTGTTATAAGATCAGAATGAGATACAATAGCTTCAATGAGATTGTTGGATGTGAGGAACACATCTCTTTGTTCAAATAACTTCTTTTCTACTGACTTTGTGTCCACTACAGTAAGGATATGTTCTCCGAAATTCATTGACTTCATTTCAAACTGTTATAATCAAAAGTGAAATTGAGATATATTTAACCCTAACAATAAGAACTGAACAGCTTTATCTAAATTATTATTGGCACAAAAATTTGTAAAGTGCATAAATTAAGATAATAGGAACCTTAACCAAAGAAATTCAGGACAAAATGAATGTGTTTTCTTATTTTTATGGAGTGAAGCAAGAAATCAGAGTCACAGAACTTCCAGTGCACACTATAAAAAAGTAACATGCATGGAGAGAACACTGGGTGTGGTATGACGGTAACTCTAATGAAATGTGAAGGCTAATTAGTAAGAGTATAGATTCATAAGCTGTAGAGCATTTTAATAAAAACTAGTAGGCCTTTTGTTATAGTGAACAAGCGGACTATAGCGTCTGGATAGCCTATCAGGTCTTTGTTCTTTGGCTTCAACAACCCCAAAACTTACATTCACATTACAGGTAATGTCATCATTTAAGAATTCTGTTACTTCAAATGCAGGTTGTGCACTTATTTTTGGACATGTTTCAAGATTCACTGCTGAATTAGATCCAGATCCATTACAACCTGCTGATTTTCCATCCTGCTCTGAAATTAATTTAGAAATCTAGATTATATACATTTAGAAAGTACAAATGATGGCCTCATGTCAAACATATGGTTATTTGCGTCTGACAACTAACAAGTCAAATCAGTCATTTAGTAGAAGTGGTTGCACTAGTAGGCTTTTATTATTCATAATAAATAGAGGAACAAGAATTGTAAAGGCTTGAAACAAAAACTGTCTTGTCTTTTATTCTCAAGCCTAAACATATCTTGTTCCATTTATTTACTTTACATGGCTTGGATGCAGACCCTCATATATTATCCTATATTATTCACACTATTGTTTGGGAGAGTGAGGAGCACTCTAAGCATACTTTGCGATGGACAGAGATCAAATCTCCCTAAGTAACCTCAGCATAATTCTCATTGAAAAGGGATCAAACTGAGTTAAGTTTAATAGTTCTAGGGATATATTTATTTTGTGGGGAATATTTTGTTATCCTCCGAGTTTGCATTCACCTGTGTGGACAGCCATAGTGGTACTAATTTTCATAATTGACTATGCAAGGTGAAGGTAATGCTACAACCAATAAGAAGAGGCAAGCTAATCTATTGTATTTTTCAGGTGTGGCTAGAATTGTCAACGAGCCGCACTCATAGAAATACTTGCCACTGCAGTTATAGGACACATAGACTATACATAAACTATACTATACAATCATACAATGAATCATTTGAATGATCACAACATTTATACTTTATATTGCTTAAGCCTTACTACATAAACTGTACTATACATTATTCACTTACATTACTTGGGCTGGTACACTAGCCCAGTGGCGTAACTAGGACTGGTGTCACCTGGTGCGGTAAAATCAGGTGTCACCTCCCCCCCCCCGGATTTCTTCTTGTTAAAATAAGTTAAGTCCATGGTATAACAATGACAAGAACAAAAACAAATTAATTGAATTTCAGTTCAGTATGCATTTGAATTTTGAATTGGTTACATTTTGAAAAATTTATCTGTGATCGGTTATCCTTTTATGAAATTCATTTAGACTAAGCAATGTGTGCTCTGTAAATTCTGCAATTTTCAATTAGGTGTCACCCCCTGAGATGGTGTCAACGGGTGCGGTCCCTACCCCCCCCCCCCCCCCCCCCCCCCCCCCCCCCCCCCCGTAGCTACGCCACTGCATTATCCTACAATTAGTAATAGTCAATACACTACAGTCTACAGTCTACGTCTACACTACACTGACTACAAGTTCCACTGACTACAAGCTCCACGGACTCGCTCACTTTGACTTTGAGTAGTTTGAGTTGACTCACTCGAAATATCCTTCAATCACTCTGGTCTGAAGCTAGTGACGGGCCGCCGGCCTTTTTTTTTCATTAAAAAAAAATTAAGAATCATAATCATACGAATGACGCATGAAGTCTGAATAGCTGCACAAATAAGATAAAATGGTAGTCTAAAGTCTCAACAATTGATCGTACATTTTACTTCAGCAATAGTAATAGCACTCACCTTCGGAATGAGGGGCTTCAAAATTAAAAAGGAACGACATGGTCAATGGTTAATATAATGTAAATTAATGCTCCTTCTAAATTTATTGGGGTTTTTTTTTCTTCGGTTTTCCTTTCGCTTTCATTTAATTGTCAGTGATAGCGTGCAATGTAATAGTTCGATAGGCGATCAAGTAGTTACTTTCACGTTTTAAACATTACTTAACTTGCAACTTAGCCCATACTAATAAAAAGCATAAACGTATACAAACATTAGTTAAATAGTATTTAATTGAATTATTTATTTAAGCATCAAAGTTACTTCAGAATTTTATGTAATGCTTAAAATATTTTGAAGTCATTTCTATTTCAATAAAAGGACAAGGAAAATGTATGGCTCAATATACAGATGTAGTGAATTTTATAAATTTTGTAAATCTTTTTTTAAATAAAACAGAAAAAACGTTGTAACCATTCTGGGGATTTTTATGCCGGAATTTTTTTAAAGGTTACTCTAACATTTATTTTTGTTAAGGAATCCATTCCAGCCAATCTAACTTACCAAACAATCTAATTAAATAATTATTAATACTAGGAGAATCTGGGGCAACTAGAGTCTATAGCATATTTTAGGGTGTTTAAAATAGTCAGAAACAAAATTCGGTTGAAACTTGAATGACAAGTTATCAAAGAAAAATAATGCAATATATAGAAAGAAGAAGCTTTTCTTTAGTTGGCATAGTATGTATTGGGAAATTTAGATAAACTTGACATTTCACCCCCAATTACCTGGATTTGTTTTTAAATTGACGAATTCATCTAAAATTGGTACCAAATAAATTGGAATTGATCTTGCTTACACAAACTTGGAAAAACACTGCACATTGTTCATTGAAAGCAATTTAAGTTTCCTAAAGATCTTTCAATATTCATTAACAATTAACAATATATGTAATATGTGCAACTTGATGGCCCCAGAAGCGTGAAACATTTGTCCTCACAGCCACCCCCACTTAGCTACGCCTCGGGGGGGGGGGGCATAATACTTTTTATATGCTCAGTTAAGAGTTGTGGAAACACTGGCACAATGTAAGTGTTCAAAGTGTGAATTGCCTTGTGTGTAGACAGTGTTCGTAGTAGGGTTTCTCTCTCGGGATCTCGTGATTCTGGGATCCCATGCCCATATGATCTTTAGTTTAAAATTAAAAGACTTCCATGGAATTTTTTTTCTATCCCGGGAAATCCCGGGTTAATGTATAAAATTTTCTTGATTTTCTAAAATTTTAAAAGTCACAGATTGTCACAAATTGTCGCTATAAGTTATGTAGTTAGGACTAGTAAAATATATTTATCTGCACTGCACTGAAGCTTAGTAGCAGTGGTGTAGCTATAGTTAAAGCCACCCGGGGCGTGACAAGATTTTGGTCACCCCCTTCCAGGAAAAAAAATCATCATTTGGCTTGAAGTGCCACCTCTCCATATAAAGAAAAAAAATGCCCCCCCCCTCGGGCGAACAGCCCCTTTCGCACTCCGTTCCTACGCCAATGCTTAGTAGTTTTGCTCTACAACACAGTGTCAGTCTGGAGCGTTTTCAGGTCATAAATTAAATACGTTCATATAGAAGCAAAGTTACCATAATATATTGGAAACAAATAATTTAAACCAAGGATGTGAATTGAATGTAGACGAAACTTAAATGTTTTATTATTATTAATGTTTTAAAATATTTTCTGCAAAGACTAAGACTTGTTAATATTTTTTTTTATAATCTGGGGAAATGCATTTAAAGAACCTGGGGAATTTTGAAGAATTTGAGTGGCAGCATGAATAACCTATCACAACACTTAAATTTAAATCAGTGCGAAGACACTCATTTTTAAAACACAATAAGAGATCCCCAACCCAGTGAGAAGTGATTAAACTAAATATATTTGAAATGGATTCAGAAATTCTATCCATATTAGAAGATTCTTCTACTGTTATCAATTCAACCAAGGCCTTATCATGGTCTCATGATAACAGAGCGATCTTATGTTGCGCTCAGAAAGTTCTGATTATCAATGTGGTATGCCAAAAAAATAAGCAGCTAAATTTTAAATAAATTTGCTACATATTAGACCTAATTTTGGTAATTGTATGCTTACGTTTACTCCTGTTCTACCGTGTTTCTTTGTGTGCTACTTTATTTAGTAAATATTACTTCATTGGGCTTGCACTGCTTATTTTTTTTAAATTTCCCACAACTGTCATCATCTTGGCCTTGGTTACTATACTTATACTATGAAATGAAGGCACATGCAATGATAATGGCAACCAAGATGGCAGATGTGGAAAAAAAAAGTAGTGCAAGCTCACGTCTGCTAAAATAGGGAGGGGAAAGAGAGAGCATGTGCTGTTTTAGTTACCCAAAGAAAGAAGGCAGTGTCTACACGTCCGGCGCGCCGGACGTCTATCTCCTGCACTATGTGTCCGGGGACCAAGTCACATGACCGCCGTAACAAAGGGGCGAGAGATATCGTGTCGGTCAGCCTTGTCACGTGACTGCGAATAATTCAAAACTATTGTTAATTTTAAAATCTATTTCTCTACCAAGTAATGTACTGAGTATCTTGAATGCAAATAATAGAAAAAGAAACTTAAGTGAAAGTGGCTTGTAAACATTTTTGTTTAGTTTGTTATTTTTTGTGTACCAGTAATCCATAAAATAAATTAGGGGCCAGTGTGGCAACCAATAAAAGTTAAAGATTTCATTTTAAATTATTTCAATTGCTACAAAATATTTAAAAACTTCTCATGAAACTACTGTTGCTGAGGAACATGATAATATAAATATATACAAAATATTTTAATTAAAATGGGAAGAAAAAAAACGACCCTATCCCCGGTATAGATCCTCAAACATTCCTATCGTCAAGCAACCACTCTACCACAAGACCAGACAAGATGTACTAAATCGTACTTCGTTTGGAATTATAAAAACTACTAGCCGTCCGGCCATGTCCGGCGGTCACGTGACAAGTCGCCGGACGTGTATCTTGCGCACTACACGTCCGGCGCGCCGGACGTGTAGACACTTCGAAGAAAGAAAAATAGGAACAAAGTATAAAAATTGAATGAAATAATTTCAGCTGGCACAATGTAGACGTAGCAACTTTATTGTATCTCTTTAAATATGCAGCAAGAAGTGTCAACAACAAGTGCAATTGCCCTCTTTACTTGCATAATTTCAGCTGGTACAACACAGCAACTTTATTGTATTCCTCTAGCTAGATATGTGTCAAGCAATGTCAATGACCTGTGGTCACTCTCTTCCCTCAACAAAAACATGTGTGCTAAGTTACACACTGTGTGGTAAGAAAAGTGTAAAAATGAAGAAAAATAAAGTAAAATGTTATTAAAATAATGAAAACCCAACCTACATTTTCATAGAATTCACTTTTAAACCATCTTATTGCAGGGTCCACCAAAAATAAAATTCAAAAGCTGTCAGAAAAATCTATACAATACCCATCATTGACAAAAAAATTAAAAATGCTGGAATAATTAAATATAACGACCAACCAATGAAATTATAGACTAATTTAAAACATGCCATCGGCACATTGATATTTAAAAAAAACAACAATTAACTCTTAGTAACAATCCAATAATAAATAAAATGGAGAGAATCCTACACTGAAACTCAAATTGGCATGCCTTAGATACAGCCCTTTTTTTCACACAGTCACTATCTTTGTTGCTATGACACCAGACTATCAATTTATTTTATGAATTAACATTAATTTTTTTTAAAATCAAAGGCCTAATAATTATAACAAGGCTTCAAAACTTGTAAATCCATTTATACTGTTCTTTTTTTATTGACATAAATTTCTTTTTCAAAATTGTTGCCCCCACCAGAAATGTGCTGGTGCCCACTCTGGGGGGGGGGGGGCATTGGTCTTCATATGAATAAATTTAGGATAGCAATATCTTAAAGTGCAAATAATATTTTTTGCTGTAAATATTTGTGTTGACCTTTTTCTTTTTTTATTGAAATAAATTTCTTTTTCAAAATTGTTGCCCCCACCAGAAATGGGCTGGGGCCCACTTGGGGGGGGGGGGGGCATTGGTCTTCATATGAATAAATTTAGGATAGCCATATCTTAAAGTGCAAATAATATTTTTTGCTGTAAATAGTTGTGTTGACCTTTCAAATTGATAGCAGAAAATACTTCCGTATTGCTAGAGCTTGTCCTTTTTTTAGCAAATGCTTGTGACATAATCATTTTTCAGTTTTATAAAATTGCTTTATCCATTGTATGTTAAAATGGTTATCACTCAAAATGTAATTTATTATAATGAACATGACCATATATAAATATATGTATTTCAGGTGTGCAATGAAAATCCCACCACCAAGAAAGAATTTTTCAGGACAGTTATTCATGAAACACCAAACATTTTAAATCTTGGTGAATTCTCATACACAAAGGATGTATTGGTCTTGAAACCTTCAATTGCTAACTTGGATGAAGGTTGATAAAAAAAAATTTTTAATTGTAGCGTCTTTTTATTTGATAATTCATTTGATTTTTAAGAAGTAGTAGCAACGCATCTGCAACAATTTTTATTATATTTTTAGTGATTATTATTAATTAAAAAGCCGTTGGCCACTTTAAAAACTGTTTTATTAGCTGCTACAGTTTTGATTTACCATAGATATTTGTTCATAAGTTGGCGCATTCATAAACCGACCACCTTAGTTTTGATTGGGCAAGGCCTGAAAAGTGTATAACTTGTTCATAAGCCAATCCCTAAAAATAATGTGACATTAAAAGCAATACAGTACTAAAGACAATCCAAACTTTTAAATATAATTATCATGTAAGACTAAAAACTAATTAACATCCATTATTTTAAATTACTGTATTTATTGGCGTATAACACGCACCATTCGCGCCGCAAGTTTGACCATGCTAAAACACTTCTGAGAGAAGTGCTCGCATAGAGTACAAAACTGCAACTTTGTGCTACCGCTGCTTACATGACCTGGCGCCGTCCTATCTGAAAGAGCTGCTGACGCCTTATGTACCCACTAGACAACTCCGCTCATCCGATAGTGGCAAACTCTCAACACCACGTGTTCGCCTTGAGACTTACCGAAAGCGCACTTTCGCATTTGCTGGTCCAACAATTTGGAACGCCCTTCCAGTCACTCTCAGAAACAACCAGACACTGGAGTCCTTTAAAACCAATTTAAAGACACATCTATTTCGCAAACACCTTCTGGGATGATTGTCTACTATATTTTCCAGTTAATGCATATTGGCTGTGTTGCTTAGGGTTGAAATGGGTAGAAAGACTTTGACTTCGTATGCTTGTAATTAGTTTTTGTAGTGTTGCGTTTCTTTTAAATGTGGTAAATTATAGTTGTTGTTTTTTTTTTTGGACTTGGTACCGCGCTTCAAGCTTTTGGGGATGAAGGGTGTTTTTGAAATAAACTTTATTATTATTATTATTATGCTGTATGTACTATGGGTCCTTAACATTATATCGGCATATAACACGCACACATCATTTGCCCCCTATTTTCAGAGAGAAAAAGTGCGTGTTATACGCCAATAAATACGGTAGATGCTCCCTTCGATTATCTACTTGTATATTAGGTAACCATATTGAATATTTCCAAGAAAGAAAACTTCATTGATCTACAATAACAATTTCATTATTCAATGTAGGTACTTTGATACCCCCTTAGCCCATCCAAAATGAGGATGACGATGTGACCCACACTTGCACCCTACCAAGTTTGCTCATGGCCATCTGCTGACTTCCATTTATTACATTTTCCTTCTAATAGAATTAATGTATTAATGGATAAAATTATAAAAATTTCCTTTGACCCACTCATAAGCTGACTACCCCACTTATTCCCCTGAAATATTTTTTTTTAAAGTTGTCTTATACCATAAATGAGTATATTCAATACATGTTTTCATTTCATCTTTGAAACAAAATTCCTGTAGAAGGCCTATACCTTAGATGGGGTAAGGCATAAGTAAGTAAGTAAGTGAACAGCAATACATAAGCACACCCAAAGACTTACTGCTCTACATTATTACATATGGGCAGTCCAGTTTCAGTACCTGCAGCTGCTTCAATACCAAAATATTCCATTTTTGTTATTATCTTAAGCTGCATGCGTAGTGTTTACCTCATTTATATTGCCTAATGCATTCACTTAATTCCACCTTAAAGTGTGATTAATAAAAGTATTTAATTTACTTTCTGTCATTGTAGCTGGAAGGCAGAGATTAATGACTGATCCATCTCTTTGTGAAGATTTTATCTATCCCAACGCCATGCTCAACACATTCAAGCAGGCAAAATTGGCTTCATTGTGCAGTGATTCTCAATGGTAAATATGTTCAAAGCACTGATTCCAGTTGTTGGTAAACTTTTAAGCATACAATTAAAAAACTTTTTCAAATTTTGGTGGCTTTTTATTATTGGAATAAAATTAAAAAACTATGGTGTATAGTCTAAATCTATAGATAATATATTACGGTTTTCATGAATTATCTTTTCAAACCTAATAGTCCATTTATTTCAGAACAAAATCTTTTTTAAAAATGTATTTGTAATCGATACCTAATGCCATAAATTTATTCTATAACAGTACAAAAAACGTTTTGGCTGCACTAACATATGGACACCGAGTTATTCTCTACACTGAAACATCTGGAGAATGGCGCAATGTCAGTAAATATAAATACTTGAGTGTAAAGTTACTTAGGTTGCTTCAATTTTTTTTTTTTCAGTTTTCTCTTTACATGTTGCTTATTTGGAACAGATTTATTAAATATATATTTATACCATGTTGAAAATGGAAGTAACTACTCTAGTGACGTGAAAGAATGTTGTGGTTGGACTCAATATAATTTGGCATTATTTTAAGGACAAGCTGTTTATGTTAGGGATGTTTGAACAAATTATTTAGGCAAAGGGTTATCAGTTTTAGGAATAGCGTATTAAAGCAAGAGTGTCATTTGGGTGGGTGGGTGCACCACCCCACCCCAATTGGCATGTGTTATTTAAATTGCTGCTTTCTGTGACGCATCCAGTTATAAATAACTCTACAAGCAGGCTAAGTTTTGATTAGCCCCCCCCCCCCCCCCCCCCACAACAACAACCAACAGAAATGACCTTCCTCTTTTAAACCTGTTTTTGGATTTTTACAATCTGTTTACCATTGTTGTTTCACATAGCTTAAGTCAGATAGACATGATACTTTATATAGTTTTAACTTGGCAGCGGTAGGCTAATCTTTTTTTTATAACAGCAGACCTGTTTACCCTCCAACTCTTAAAATGGTACAATATCATCACAAAATCGTTCAATACATTATCTTAATAGTAAAAAATAAACATACAGTATATATAATTTATACACCTCAAAATCGTACATTGTACGCCAAAATCGTAAGAGTAAACAGGTTTGTAACAGTCTTCCCTGTTTAATATTGTACCAGCACATTGGTACATGAGTGAAACAAAGTATGGGAAAACCTGAAAAAATGAACGCAACAAAAAAACAAACTTGACGGCAGGAAGCCTTCATTAGCGAAAAATGATTTTTATCCCAGTGTATTATAGAAGGAGATAGACAGATGTCTTTATGCACTCACAAAATGTTTGTTATTCAAATAAATATAATTCCCATTTAAATAAAAATGTTTATTATAATGTTACCCCGATTCAGCAAAAATATACCTAACAGCGTTAAAATAGAGGAAATTAAATTTTTTATAAATTTATCAGTATCTTAAAATCTAGATAAAGCTGTTATGGTATATCTGATGCAATTCTCAATATCAGCACTCCCAAATAACACATTAATAAAATTTCAATGCTTGTCAAATTAGCTGACCCATCCAGTGCGAAGTAAGATCTGACGTGCCAAGCAAAGTACACTGTGTGTTAATCTTTTACTAAAAAACAAATTTTTACATCTTTTTGTTTTCAAATGAAAAAAGTGGCCCCTATAACAATTTATAGAAACAAATTACTATTGGGTTTCAAAACTGATAATTGGAAATCCAGTTATTAGTGAATTTCCACGAAGTAGGATTCTTTATTTATAAATAAAATATATTCGTAGTTGGAGCCTAGAAAACCTGTTCATGTCCCTCTAAATACAGCTTTTAACATTATTAGACAATCTGGGGGTGCTCAAATACATAGGCATGCAGTCAACACATACCGTAATTTTAATTGTAATACAAAGGTGTATAACAGACTCATGACCGAGCGCATGCTGTATCATTTCCACTATCTGGATCAACTTTTTAATGAATACTTTTTACATGTGGAAAAAAAACACCATAGAGTAAAGCCGTGGAAATCAAAGTGTGAAGTGGCGAGGGACGACTTTATCGTTAATCAAATTACAATCTCCTGGCTTCATCATATGAACATTCGATAAATCAAATGTGTTGTGTCTGATGATTTTTTTGTTGTAAGTTGGAAGAAAGCAGTGAGATATGACATGAAAGCAGCAAGGTCAGCAGAGGATTTTTGGTATAGTAGAGTAAAAAGCAGTGTTTACAGGCTGTCGGAGTGTATTCTAATGTAGACTGCAATGTCCCTAATTGATTATTTAGTAACAGAGATACATCATGTTACACAAGTTACTTTATGAAAACACACTCCTAGCAAAATGAGCCCTGCTACATTTCATTTCAGGCTACAGATTTAAGCCCAACTATTAAACATGGTTTAATGGCAGTTTCGGAAATACAGACAAGACCCCCTTTTACCATTGGACGCAATATAACACTAGATGACTATACTAAATTTATGTATGGTATGTCAACTGTTGGTAAGGAAATGAATTATTCCATTTTTCCTTCTGTTTACTAATTTTACTTTTTAACTGAAAATGGTAAATTTGCTTCTGTGATGATGTCCATTTCATAAAAACTCATATGACTTTTTCTATGTTGCCTTCAGTAATTGAGTGGTCAAGTGGAATTTATTTGCAAGATGGAACCCAACTTTTACTTCTCTTTTTGGGAACTCGATATGGCCATATCCATATATGGGCATTTAATGGGACACCTGGAAACATGTAAGTTGTTTTTTTTATAAGGACTAAGCATAAGACTAAGTAATAGCGCCACACACCTTCAACATGAAATTTAATCAGTGATAAATTTGAAATAATTTTTTAGGAATCTGCATTCCTTTTTTTTTTCTTTTTTTTTTAAAAATCATGATATTTAATATGTGCCAAGCAAAGTTTATTTATATCCTTGCACAATGCCATCGAATTCTGCTGGAGGGATAATTATTTTATGGGATTTTTTTTGTCTTTGGCTCGGTTATTTTTAAATTTATGCTTCACGACCCAATAAAACATTTATCATTTATCCTGGCCCATATGTAACAGAAGAAGAATTTGTCATTACAGTTTTCATTTAGTAAAGAACCAATTACCTTACATAAACCTTACCATACCTTTAACAGGGAAAATAATTCCTTAAAAAATATACTTTTCTTGTAAAACTATAAATTATTTGTAGTTTACAGTGAAAAGATAAATTTATTCATTTTCCTTGTTCTGCTTGCAATTGTGTCTTTACTTTATTTCTGAGGACAACAAGTGTTGAAAAGCCAGCTTCACACAGGCTACAAATGTCATCCCCTGGGTATTCTTGATGACAATACACCCAAAAAATCCCATCAGAAGTATTCTGCCCAAGATGTCTTTGAGTTATGTATCATAAGGAAGTATCACCGATCCAACATGTTTTTAATTCAATGGATGAGGATGGGATTTTATAAAGATTATCCATCAGAATGAACATTTCTTCAGATTGTGTAAGAAGTATATCAAGGAGAAGTTCTTCATGAGTTTCAATGGCAAAATCAAATCTCACAAAAGGCTTAGCTCAGCAATTTTCTCATGTGTGAACTTTCATCTACTTGCTAGGAAGCAAAACTACACTTTATTCAGTTTCTTTGATAGTATCTTCCATTTCCACTATTCTGAGCTTTGTTTGTCGATGTTTATAGTGTCAGCATAGTTACTTGGGGCTCCTGTGTCTTGTCACATATGCAAGATGTTAACTTTTTCACTGCTAGAGCTAGTAGTTCTAGTGTGTGAGGTTGAAAACTCTTAGCCAATAATATTCATATTTCACAAGAAATTATTGTTGCAAGGTTTTCAATTTTGAAGGCCCTAAGAAAAGTAAAAAGACATGGTTCTCTTGTTGCTAGCTTTAATTCTCTCTTTTTATTTATAAAGAAAAGGTTTTGCATGATACTGCATTCCTGATGTTTTATTACGTGTTTATCAATTTTCAAATTAAATGCAATCAGTAAACACAACCCAAAATTTTCTCTCTCCCGTTTTTCTCCACACTAAAGTTCAACTGAATTTTTGTTTATGATCTAGGAGACTTTCCAACTTGAGGTGATCGAGCAGTGTTTTAATACAATTTAAATAGTTCCCTTTTGCATTCAAATTATGCTCAGCCCTCTGAAACTGTGATGCCAACATTAAAAACTCACAATAAATGTAAAAAAATGTTTTGACTTGAAAAATGTGTTGACCTCATTCATGTTGCAATTATTATGAAATGATATTAATTATTACATTTTTACTTTTGATCTCATTATTTCATCAGCAGTGACAGTTTTGTCTACAAGGCTACCAGCAGCTTCAGATCCGAAGTGACATCTTTACAATGGTTGTCAAGGTCCCCAAAGATGGGTTGGTAAAGTAAAGATTTAAATTAGATTGATGCACATTTAATCTTAAAAAGGGGTAAAAGTGGGGAGGGAGTTGTTAAGAAGTGCCTCCAGCAGATAAAAGATATGATGCCAGCAGTGGTGTAGCCAGGTTCGGGACCACTAACCAAATAAATATTTTTAACTCATTGAATTCTTGATTGATTTGAGTTATTATTTTTAGTTTTGAACCACTGAAAAATCCAAAAAGTGGAACAAAGGTATAGTTTAATAATGATCAAGTCCACGATGGAGGGAAGAAGCGATGAAAGCGCAGGAAGGTGCGCAATGATAGCGGGGCGGACAAGCTCCGCTCTGGAATTATTATCGATACAACAGATCCAATGTTGCAGTGAATAGGTCTTCATGAGTCAAATGTAGTTACTATTGGCACCATTTTCTACCACAGTTTTAAATTTTAACAAATTGTGTCCAATTGTGAAATAAACCTTTAATTACCTGACCAGCTGTATGTATATTTGACAGGCGTGCTTGCAGCTGGATTCACAAATGGGGCTTTGACAGAGTATGTCATCAATGTCAGCAATGATGGCAACGTCACGATGGTGGAGGGGTATGGAGATTTGACAGAAGACAACCTTACAATAAGTGACATGGCATGGGGAAAGATAAGTGAGGTGTGTCAGTTTGTCATATTTTTTCTGCACTGCCATCAAAACTTACTGTGCTGTAACAGCTTTAAACTGGAAACTGCTTGTGCCTATGAAGAGTCAAAATGTAATTGATTTGCATAGACAGAAATTAGTTCAAAGTTGTTGGTAATCTATATCACTTATAAGGGTGTTAAACAATGACTGAATTTCTGGTCCCTAGCCATGCATTAAGATAAATATGTTTCTTAAATTATCCAAATAATGGAAATGTTTTATTATTACATTGTTAATATTCATTTTCAGCACATAAATCAATACATATTTTAACCAAGACAACATTTTACAATTATCCCAATTTAAACACAAGACATCGGAAGTACTCACGGGGGGGGGGGAGACAACACAGTTAACATAGATACTGATGAACCCTGCCCAGATTCTATCTTCAGATGGCCCACTTATCCGAAACTTTTGGCTTAATATCATTTTGAATGGCCCAACAGGATTTTTAAACACAAGACATCGGAAGTACTCACGGGGGGGGGGGAGACAACACAGTTAACATAGATACTGATGAACCCTGCCCAGATTCTATCTTCAGATGGCCCACTGATCCGAAACTTTTGGCTTAATATCATTTTGAATGGGCCAACAGGATTTAAGTTTCCTTTTGACCAATGCAAAATTTTTGCGCCTCTATGCATAACCTGTACAAAATCCTGTATAGCCCTACTAATCAGAAAATATCTTTAAAAGATAAAAAAATCTTACCAACTGTAAACTGTATCACTTGCCATTTATGGTTATTGCACATAATTATTATAGGTGTTTTAATGCCTGCTATGCCTGCTCTCTGAAGTCGATCTTTACCATACCGGGATGACTAGTATTTCTTTGTCAATTTAAACAATTTGCTAACTGTTTGATTATTATTTTTGCATTCGATGCAATAAAAAGAAAAGGTTGATCTGTTTAAAAGCAGTTTTTTTTCCAAAAAAAAAATAAATTAACATACCTACCGGAGATTTCCGTAAATAGGCCCACCCGAGCATAAGCCCATGGGCCTGTATGCGGAAAGTCTTTCCTTTCTGTATACAGGCCCATGGGCTTATATTAGGTTAAAAAATTATTAAGCCCACATATCGAAACTTCTGATGAATCGTCACTGTCATTAAGTATTATAAAAATAAATTTTAAGTTTTTTTTTATTGTTGCTAAACATAAAACTTCAATTGATGAACGTAAAACCACAATTGTATTATTTTCTGAATATTTTATAGGAAATTATTTCAAGGAAAAAATTGTTTTCTGAACCCGCACATGCATTTCCCTTTCTGTTTATGATTCGATAAGCCTTCTTTAAAACATGCCTCAAAAAAGAAAATCCTGCACAATCGACAATAAATTGGATATCATTAAGAAACTAGAGAATGAATATGGAGGGAATATTAGTCAAGCATCTAGAGAGACTGGTATAGATAGGAACCGAATAAGAGAGTGGTTAAAACAAAAAAATGATTTGTGCCAGGGAGAAGATAAGAAAAGAAAAAGACAGATTGGAGGTGGAAGGCCAGCCTTTCATGAAAGGTTAGAACATGATTTGTTTGACTGGTTTGTAAAAAAAAAGGGAGCAAAAGAAAATTATCAACTCTAAGAATATAAGAGAGAAGGCACTTGCATTGAAAGAAGAATTTGAAGTCGGCGATGATTTTAAATGCTCTGATAAATGGATCTATAATTTTTGTCAGAGGCATAACTTAAGTTCACGAAGAATAACTCATCATGGCCAACAAAATGACAGACCTAAAATGGTGATTAAAAGGACAGTGAAAAATTACATGGAATGTGTGCATGCAGCAACGGTCGGACTTACCGATGATGATATTTTCAACATGGACGAGACCCTATGCTATGTTGACATGATTGGGAGTTCAACATTGCATTTTGTTGGTGACAAAAATGTTGACGGCATGAACACAGGGCATGAAAAGACAAGGTATGCAGTGGTTTTACATGCGGAAAATATTTTTTTGACAGTGTCAAAGGGAGGCTCCATGACAGAGGATCTAATGATTGAATGGCTAGAAAATGTCTACAAAAGAAGAGGGCCTTATTTCGCAAAAAACAAATCGTTGTTGATCAGTCACAGGTCCCACACAAGTGAAGCTGTTCTTGCAGCATGTACACACATAAATGAGACTGTCAAACTTATTCCTGCAAAAACAACATCATTCCCACAGCCCTTAGATGTTGGTGTTAATTTCCCATTTCAGGCTATTTTAAAGCAGAAATGGAAAGATTGGTTTGAAAATGGGGTGAAGGAATATACACTAGGTGGATACAGGAAAAAAACATCTTATGAACAATTACTTCAAATGGTGTCAGAAAGCGTAAAAATGATCTCACCTGAAAACATACGAAAATCATTTAGTGCATGAGGGGTAATATGTGATGATGACAAACATCTCAACCAGCCATTGAAAGCTGTAATCAGTTTTGAAGCTGAAGAAAGTATCAGACGTGCACATGAACAGAGCGATGATGAAGAAGAGTCCGATGACCTTTTTCCATGTAAACGCCAATGGGCCTTTATTTGGTACAAAAATCTCAATCATGTAACATCAATTTTTCGTTTTGAAGCCCAGGGCTTATTTACGGAAATCTCTGGTAATTTTTTAAAAATATACTTAGTGGGACCAAATGCCATGCTTGGGTTTACCAAGGCTAGGGGATCATAACTGAAGGCAACTACCCAGAATGCTTAGACTTGAAGGATGTTCCCCCTTAGTAGGCTGTGCTTGGGGCTATCAGTGTAGTTAGTAAGTGATGTTATCAATGCTAGGCAATGATGCAGACAGAGGTAGATACCAGCTGGTGAGCTGCGGTGAACAAGATCAGTTCTGATAGAAAGTTGTGGTGCAGAAGGCCAGAGCTCTCCATGGGTTGTAATGCCATTGGGGAGGGATGGATCACATTGACAGACAGGTCATTCAATATCTGAAGTTAGGACTTGAGAACAATTTCAAAAATGTGCATATTGAAAAAATGATAGATTAAAATTGAGAGATGTTGGCGTAGTAATTGGAGTTGTTGACAAATGCATCCAAATATTTGATGATCCATTAATTTTTTATGTCAATTTAATTTTTCTTATGCCTTTTAGAAAATTACAATATTGGTGGCATGCAAACCATATTCCCTCCATGTATATGCTCTGGAAGGTAATGGCATGGGTTTTGTACGAAGCTACAACATGGACACAGGGATGCCACTTACTTGTGAGTTTATCCTTAACTCCGCCATAATTGTTTGTAATATAAAGACACAGGACAATATTTATATTTCACAGAGAATGCCTTAGAATGGTCATTAATACTGCCTAAAAGTAGATCTTTTTTAAAAATTATTATTAGCCAGCATACAAGTTTTTTTTATTATTAGCCAGCATACAAGTTGGTTTAATTATTAGCCAGCATACAAGTTGGTTTTATTATTAGCCAGCATACAAGTTGGTTTTATTATTAGCCAGCATACAAGTTTTTTTTATTATTAGCCAGCATACAAGTTGGTTTAATTATTAGCCAGCATACAAGTTGGTTTTATTATTAGCCAGCATACAAGTTGGTTTTATTATTAGCCAGCATACAAGTTTTTTTTATTATTAGCCAGCATAAAAGTTGGTTTAATTATTAGCCAGCATACAAGTTGGTTTAATTATTAGCCAGCATACAAGTTTTTTTTATTATTAGCCAGCATACAAGTTTTTTTTATTATTAGCCAGCATACAAGTTGGTTTAATTATTAGCCAGCGTACAAGTTGGTTTAATTATTAGCCAGCATACAAGTTTTTTTTATTATTAGCCAGCATACAAGTTGGTTTTATTATTAGCCAGCATACAAGTTTTTTTTTTAATTAGCCAGCATACAAGTTTTTTTGTTTTGTTTGTATGATTAGAAGCTAAGTTTGATGGTTAATTTCCTCTGCTTTTGTTAATATGTATGTCAAATGTGATTTAGCAGCCCTTTTATTACATGTTTTCTTTGGTTTACTTTACAACTGTCATTTTAATAAATTCTGATTTCAGCAATTTCTCTCTGTGGTCCTTACGGGTTTACTGGGTCCCGTGATGGGTTCATGCACATCTTACAATGTACATACAACAAATCTGGTATGGTTTTCATTTTACTCTTTAACTATATAGTTGCCAAAGAAATGGCTGAAGTTAATTTGAAAGAATTCATATTAATGACAATCCTCAGCAATTCAATCTAATAAGACAGCATTGCCTTTTATCAGAGATACCGCCACTCTAATAATTTTCATAATTTTCAAGTAAATTTAAGAATTCCTCACCTTATTTGTGGTCTTAAAAAATACATTTGCGCCAACAAATTTTTACTTGTAACAATTAATTTAATATATATATATTTATATTTATATGTTTTTGATGGGAGCTGGTATTATAAAAAATTATTTAAAACTTTTCTTTTATCTCTTAAAGCCGTAACGGATAAGCTAACTCTTGAAATTTCCAAAGTGACCTCGTCAAGTTTTGAGCAGACGCATGAATATCCATGGACATTTTTAGGTGCAGCGATGTCTTCACCTTCTCGTTTATGTCTTATTGGTAAAAGGTGAGTTTATCCAGGATGTCTTTATAACTGAGATTATTATTTTTTTAAATGATTTTTTTGTAAAAACTTAATACCTGCAATTTGTTTTCATGGTTGCCCCACCTGCCTTGGTGAAAGGGGGGTGTATTAAACCCTAGTCTAAATCCTGTTGCTTTCTCTTTAACGAAGTGCATATATGGTATTACTAGGGTATGGCCCATACTCCATACTTATGGTCACATACCAAATGATATTGGCGTCACTGTGACTAACACATGGACTCTCCTCTCTGTGATGTCCATGCATTGAAGATAACAACAAAGATTACACAGGGCACTAATAAATAACAACTCCCCCAGCAACAGTTGTAAATAGAGTATTATTGATAAATAGAGTGCAACAAATCCAATAATGGCTCTTTCCTACCTTTAAAACTTGGCTGTCTATCCCTGGGTTTATCTTTGACTACAACTACTAGCATTACGTCTGTCACTGTCTATCCCTGGGTTTATCTTTGACTACAACTACTAGCATTACGTCTGTCACTGTCTATCCCTGGGGTTTATCAATGACTACAACTACTAGCATTACGTCTGTCACTGTCTATTCCTGGGGTTTATCAATGACTACAACTACTAGCATAACGTCTGTCACTGTCTATCCGTGGGTTTATCTTTGACTACAACTACTAGCATTACTTCTGTCACTGTCTTTCCCTGGGTTTATCTTTGACTACAAATTCTAGCATTACGTCTGTCACTGTCTATCCCTGGGTTTATCAATGACTACAACTACTACCATTACGTTTGTCACTGTCTATCCCTGGGTTTATCTTTGACTACAAATTCTAGCATTACGTCTGTCACTGTCTATCCCTGGGTTTATCTTTGACTACAACTACTACCATTACGTTTGTCACTGTCTATCCCTTGGTTTATCTTTGACTACAACTACTAACATTATGTCTGTCACTGTCTATCCCTGGGGTTTATCTTTGACTACAACTACTAGCATTACGTCTGTCACTGTCTATCCCTGGGTTTATCTTTCACTGCAACTGCTACCATAACGTTTGTCACTGTCAATCCCTTGGTTTATCTTTGACTACAACTACTAGCATTATGTCTGTCACTGCTATCCCTGGGGTTTATCTTTGACTACAACTACTAGCATTACGTCTGTCACTGTCAATCTCTGGGTTTATCTTTCACTGCAACTGCTACCATAACGTCTGTCACTGTCAATCCCTGGGGTTTATCTTTGAATACAACTACTAGCATTTTGTCTTTCACTTCAGATTGACCGCCCTAATTCTACTCTATATCACGAAGGGCTCTATCTTATATACAATTCTCGACCTCTGTAGGTGGTCCAGGAATGCTATCTATGAACACATCCCTCCCCCTTCATTTCTGATGAATTAAGAACATTCGTTGTTAACCCCAGTTTTTCTTGCCATGCCTGGAAGGCCCGAAGCATAATATTATGGGAAAAAAACATTGCTCTCTATCTCAAGATGTTAGAATCTATTAAGCTTGGCCCCCTTAAAATTCCCCTCCCAAAATCACAGCAATTTCCATCTGCCCTATCAAATACCTGAACAACAATGGAACTCTCTTCTGTCCCCCACCTCAGTCATTTGTGACAGAAGGTTATCCACGTGATAATTCTTTCAAATAGCTGCCTACCAATGGTAAGTAAGCTATAAGAAGAGATTCCCACTCCGTCCATTTACGGGTTGATTTCATGAGAAATTATAAGGAAAGGATTAGTTTTATTAAAAGTTCCTTCCCATTTTTATATTTATTTTTTAACATCCTTGTTTTATACTCCCAAGTTAACTTAAAATTGAAACTAATAATTTTTCTTTTAAAATTTATCAGATTACATTACAGTGCAAAGTTGATGGATATGACTAAGAAATATGTAAATGAACAGAAGGTGAGGTTAAAGTTTTTCAGTTTAGATTTGAATTTAAACATAAATGATGCCCTCTGTCTTATGCTTTAAAATAGTGTCTAAAAATGTTTGCCAGTCATTTCCAAAAACTGTAAAAATTTGTCTATTTTCAAAATAACTCATCAAAAAATTTGCTTAAATATGTAATTATTTTTTGTAAGTCAATATTTTAGCTATTTGATTACAGAAATTTGTTTGCTAAGGCAGGATTTTAGCTATTGGATTACAGAAATTCTTTGCTATGATAAAATGGATTAGAACTGTATATGCTGATGTGCAGACAGTAAGATGTGGATACAGTGAGAGGAACTTAAATGCTGAAAGCAGTGGAATAAAACTTTAAAACTTTATGGCCTGCGTAATTGAGATGTCGAGTCATATTGAATGTGAAGCACTTGTTTGAAACACTGAAAGGAGAAATAACCACATTACCATTTTAGGAACTGAATCCTTAAAATCAGACCATGGACTAGAAATAATGTTGTATACCATAAATAAATGTGCTACTGCATTATATGACTTTACTAATAATGGTTTTGCCATCAGGTTGTGATAAATAAATGTGCTACTGCATTATATGACTTTACTAATAATAGTTTTGCCATCAGGTTGTGATCTTTTGTCCATTTAAATTGACCCTGAGCTCAATTAAAGAAGTTATTAACTATCCTGGTAAGTGAATTAAGATTTATATTTTCACATCCTCCATGATAAGTTTTGTATCACTCCATTTTGTGAACCACTAACCTATGAATTTTTTTTAGTTCCACTATGAATATTTGACTTCTGACACTCCACTAGGATTCATTTCAATAATTAATTCTACCTACATTTAACATTGAAAATACTATTTTAAATTTACAGTACTAAATAATTTTAGTAGTTTTAACAAAGCTTTGAATATATCACAATTTTGTATTCATTTATTTTAGTTACATTTACATATTATTGTGAATAAAAGTTATTTTTATTTGAAATAACCATGTTCATCTATGCAAAACCCTAGTTGCCATGTCCATATCTTAAACTCAAGTATTTATTTAATAAGTATTATTTATTCTAAAAATCAGTTTTCATTTTATTCAGAGTCCTATTTTTCGCTACAACACACCTTGATTTATCTGAGACTTCACATCCAGGAAAGTGTCAAAATTGACAAAGGTTGTAGTGACATATTGGAAATCTACATGTATTTAGACAGTTGTGACAATGTGAGAGCATTGCAAATTATGAGGTAAATTGTTCTCGAGAAATTTTTTTTTGTTTTTGTTTGACTGACAATATAAGAATTTCAAGCACAATGCTAATGTTTTACAATTAGTTCATCCACACTATCACTATCACAACAACTGCACATGCCCTTGCAGACTAAGAATCTATATGATTTTGTTAATTAATTCTCCTGACTTTTTTTTTATTGCAGAGATATCCTGAAAGTATTGTCCTACTGGTCAGATATTTATAAAGGTCTTGGTGAAAAAGTAAGATCATGTTAGCAAGGTTAATTTTCTTTTGCAAGGCTAAAGGGTGTCTATGGACTGATTAAACAGTTTAAATATGAATGTTAAAATCATTTCACTTTATCTCAAAGGGAATGTTTCTCGAATAACAGAGAATGAAATTTTACCTATATCTAAAGTTATAATAATTCTTCCTAGGGCACCTGAATTGAATGAACCAGGTTTTTATCTGATACTTATCAACATATTGGGTGATGTTAATAATGCAATAATATCTTGTGGAACTACCAATGCATAGATTTGTGAAATGTTCATGGGATTTTTAACCAGTTATTCTCTTTTCACAGTAAATTAATATAATTAATAATAATATTGTTTATGACAAAAATCAATAATGGAGTATTAACTTTAAATGGTCTGTTTTCTAATCTTTACTAGATTTCATCTTTGATGAACACAGCATCTGAAGTAAATGAAAGACTCCTTATAAAATACATTGAATCTAGTCTAAATCCTCTACCAGCATCACCAAATGATAAAGGTAAATTCTCATTCTAGCTAAATTGACTGTATTTTTCAAAACTAATGGTTGCCAGCCCATTTTCCGTTTCTGTCCCATAAGCTGATTCTACCGGCTCATGATTAAAAAATTTTCAAAACAAAAAGCCAAAGTAGTAAAATGATTTGGCTTTACCTCGCGATGACCAGTGTGTGATTTTGCTTTGTGATTTCTTGCTACAGTTGAGTCTAAGGAATTCAGGAACACACCCTCATTAGAGATGTATTGCTGGCAAAGTTCTAGAATTAATTCAAACACAGCAATATGATATAACAAATATTAATTTAACATCTCAGGCATCTGAGTAAGAAAAATATCAACCCCATGTTGAAAGTTGGTGCTACAAAAGTTTTATCAGTGCCCTCCAGTAAAGGGGAAAAGCTACTGAGCTAGTAGTGATTTCATCAACTTTAAAACAACTGAAACATTATCAAAGTGTGTGAATGACAAGCCTCTTTACCTGAATAGTTTTGAGAAGTAGACAAAACAGCAGATAATTTTTTATTCTGAAAAGTCACAATGTTAATCCAAATCTACATCACATTCACAAACTGAAAAATGCAAAGAAAGATTGTTTTTATCCTCATAACAGATGAAATTTCTTCATTGGGGATTTTATTATTTTTGTGCCAAGAAACACTTCATTTCAAAAGAAATCACTTCTCAGTGTTTCAAATTTTTTAAGTGTGACTAATGTGTAACTAGACAAGATTGAAAAAAACCTTAGCCCATTCACATTTAAATCATCATGGAACAACACCCATGGACTGGCTCAGACTCAAACTCTGTCTGTGTAATAGTAAATCAAGATGATGAATCGAAACTTACTTCAGTCAATACTAAATATACTACTTTGTCAACCATAGCGCCCTTATTGAAACAGGTGAACCTATTCAAAATCATCATGTGACATGTTTAATATGTAAGATGGACTATGATCATATCATTGATCATAGCTGTAGTCCAAATGAACATATTTATATATTACTGTCTAATATTCAACAGCAGCCTATCATCCTGATATTGATCCTCATTCTTTACTGGCATCGTGATATTTATTTTAAAACCATGCGACTTTTTCTGGAGCCCGTCTGTTGTGGACTGGAGAAGGCGGAGCACCCTGGTCTACAGGCTGCATTCCCTTGCGGAAGCCAGCCTGTATTGGGCTGAGGCCCCCAGGTACCAGTAGAGCCTCTGGTTAACCATTCTCTCGGCTACCTTCCCCAAACACGTTGTTTAGGAAATTGGACGATAGCCGGTCGGTTGATCGAGTTTCTTCCCTTCTTTGGGAATAGGAACGATGGTAGCACTAAGCCAAGCTCTTGGTAGGATTCCTGTTACCCAGGATCTGTTTATGATTGACAATAGCTTTGTCCTAGCTATCGGGCCAAGGTTTTTGATCATTTCGTTACATTGAATGAACTAAAACAATCTATATGAATCAAACTGAAATATCAACATTTAGGCAAAGAGATATACTGATTTGCATAATTTATGCATGCAATATTTGCTTACACTTAGAATAAATATATATCTTAATTTCATAATGTTGTTAAATTGTATGATTCTTGAAGCCTAAATATCTCCTAACAAATATTTGAATGAGATTCAATGTAAAAAAACTACATAAAATATACCCCTGGGGCTTCTTATGCCTTTTGGCATATTTCAAGGTCGCATTTTTTTTAAACATTTATAGAGTCACTGGTACCAAAAAAAATTGATATAAATGACAGCATACCATGAACTATCAATGGAAGCTGCCATTAAAATGGTGAGATGAGCAAGAAACGCGAGAAGCAATCTGGTTAACTGGTACAAAGTCCAGCCAGCCAATCTCAAGGCTTTCATTATCAGACTGATGGATCGGCCACTAGTCTTATGTCATTCGACTCTGGGCCAATAGAACAGCACAGCCGTCTCAAAAGGTTTAACTGTTTACTGAATAAAATGCCTTTGTAAAAAATATTTAGTCAATCGATTGAAAAATTTCTGAAATAAACTTGAAGTCATTAGACATTGTGAATATTTTTTGTTTACTTATCTATCTTTTTTTTTTTTTTTTTTTTTTAAGTTGATATCAAATTAATTTTATTGCAAAGTAAATTCAATTTTCTGTCGATAGAAATTAAACACTTGGGGTCTTTCTATTAACCTCAGGACTTAGATTTAAACAGTAGTCTTGTTTTTGTTGTATATGAAATTGCTTGGTAAAACTGTGGAAATACCCAAGGAAGTCGAACAGTTCATCAAGCCAACTTTTATAAACATTTTTTTAAAAATAAATACTACATGTTTCCTAATTGTTTTTTAATATTTTATATCTTTTACCAGACTTGCAAGTGATAAAAGCCATGGTCGACTGGCTGAGTTACAAAAGCACCAGATCGTCAAAAGTAAGCCAAGCAAGTAATATCCCCATGCTGTGCCAGCAGGTGAAGAGTCCAGCCTGTTCAATTTGCTCAAGTGATATCCTCTACCCAAACTTTTCTCAATAAAACCAGTTTAAAAAAGTTACCACTAGCTCACTACTTTAATTAATTAAAATGTTGCCAATTTCATTGACAAATAATGGGATGATAACTCTTGTTGCGCAACCAAGGTATGGGTTCTTTTCTTTGATTGCTTTTTAACATATTTTAAATCTTTTGTTAAATTAAGAATGATGTGGTAAATAGTATATTAGTAACCAGTACCATAATGAATGCGAATCGTCAACTTTTTTGAAGTTAAATCTCCTTAACAAGTGCTTAAAATTTCACTTGTGTGATGAACTGTCAGTGCAGTGCACCAAAGGCCATGTAATGAGTAAGTGCATGTGGTTGTCATGTCGCAAATTTTTAGAAAATTAATACACCAGTATTTATGTATTATAATAAAAATTATTTTATCTGGCTTAATTTAGAGCGAATATAAATTATAAAATGACTGTCATCTACTTTGTTAAGATCTGTGCAGCTTGAGTTTTCTTCCCTGCCAAGATCCCAGTATGAGAACCTGTGAAGCCTGCGGTCACCCAGCTGTCAGTGAACAGTGGCTGTGTGGTAAGGATCAGCTCATTTCAACATAGCATGTGGCCTTAGCAGTTTAATGTTTTACTGATTTGTTAAAAATTTGAATGATTTAATGTAATCTTTTTTAAGTGGAAATCGTTCTATATAAATAAGTTGGCTTCCTATTTCCTTTTCTATCTGCGTGATAATGTGCTTTTGTCATGGCTTGTTTGTGATTAATCGGGTGTGAAATTCGCTCAATTTTTTAAACTAAGACAAGGCAAAATATGACCCTGTGGGGCCTGCACTCGTTTCATTCCTAAAGAGATACCCCAGCTTCAACTATCTGCAGCTCGACTCTTGATTTTTTGTTATAAAAACTTTTCTCTGGTTTAATTTATATTAATGTTTAAAAAAGGTTTAATTTTATCCTGTTCGGCCCACAACCTTACGCGTGATTTGAGTTTTGGCCCACTTAGCCTTTGAGTTTGACACCCCTGTTCTAGAGTATTAATTAATAAAAAAAATAAAGGATTCAATAACTTCAATGGAAAATGAATTTTTGAATTCATTTTGTGCTTTCTCCTTTGTATTTTGTGTGACAGAAATTTGAAGGTGGTGAATGAAAAAAAGAATTCACCAATGTTACAGTTTTCAATAAAAGTACCGTAACTTGACATTCTCTAAAAGAATATTGCTTCTGATATCTCAAAAATTTATTTTATGGTAGTTTGAATAATTTATGGAGTATTGGGTAAGGTTCAATGCAGAAGTTGAGTTTTACTCACTGTAATGGCAAAGGTCAGTACAAACATACATAATATTAAACAAATTCTTTTAATACCATAAAATACCTTGTCCAAAGTACTTTAAAGGAAATGTATACTTGTAAGGGTGTCTGAATTCATTACGTATAATATTTTGTCACTTTCGACAAACATATGAAAATGCTAAAAATGGCTTGACTCTACAGATAAATGCACTTGGCAGTTATATTATAGGGTTTAAAATACAAAGAACTAATACCCCCTCCCCCGCCCCATTTCTTCAAATATGTTGTTTTTTTTTTAAATTGATTTTCATCTATGAAGACCTTGTTTTTTTTAATGACTTAAATAAATCAGCCATAAATAAGACAGTACTAGTATTTATTAACATGATTTTTAATTATTTTTCCTGTGCCTTTCTTTGAAATTCAACATATTTCATTTTACAGGTGTCCTTCTTGTGAAACAGAGAGTGATGTGTACACTTTGTGGAGGATTTTTACGTCAAATTTCTGAATAGCATTATGGACCATTATCAGCCTTCCAAGGTCTATACTATAGTACAGGCCTGCACAACTCAAAATGTTAGGCGGGCCATAATACTTTATGAAAAACTTGTGCAGGCCGAAAGAAAATAGGACAGGACTTGCGCGGGCCTAAAGAAAATAGGGCAGGGGAAAGCTATTAAGAAAATAATACGAATAAAGAATATTTCATTACTTCGCGGGCCACAAAGTGGGTGCTGGCGGCCCGCATTTTGTGCAGGCCTGCTATAGTATATTCTAGCCCACAACTGTAGTATTTTCTAGCCCACAAACTAAAAGAAGAAGAAAATAATAAACTTTGTATTGTTGTATTCTATTTAATTTATTCACTGGCCTCATGTTGGAAACAAAATATTTATAAATCGCTCGGCACCCTTGACTGGCTGAATAAATTAGGGACAGTTGATAAATCTTCTTTTCTTGCAATTGTTGCTGGTTGCAGGAAAAGACAAAAGATGTAGCCAACATTTCAGTACAGCAAGACAAGGATCATGATCAGCTAACCAAGAGCATATCTCTTTGGCAAGAAATGTACTGGAAGAAGTGGAGGCATTCATATTCAGTGCTCAAGCAACACCGTTCCAGTCATAAAATTTGCTGATGATACCACCAACGTTGGCTTAATATCTGAGGGAGAAAGCTTATACCGCAACTGTTACAAGCTGTGTCAATTGGAAAATAAAAATTATTTTGTTCCCCAATCTGTACGAATTTACCAGCATGCTCCCCCAGAAGTCACAAATCTACGTGAGAACTAATAACTCCCTGTTTATGACTAAGGGAGTTCAATAAATAGCTGTTTTTTTTCACTGGTGAAATACGGTAATTTAATGTTGATGTCTTGTGTTCAAATTGTTTTACTTGAAAAATTTCAACTTTATTTAAATATCTATTTATTTATATGCTGAAAATGAATATGTACAATGCCATCAAAAAACATTTCCATTTGTTTGGATCAATAAAAGAATCTTATCTTATCTTGGGCAGCACCTTTTACATAAATGGTTGATCCCAAGCCAGGAAAGCTTTCCGAAAATATCAATTTCATCTTTCTAGTTTTTATAAAATTGTTGTCATGATTTTTTCCAACGCCCATCCCTTACTTTGTTGATGTCATTAATGGACGGCCCTTTATCAAATAATTACAGATTAAATTTGAAAGTACAATTATTAAACATAAAAATACTATAACTTATTTGAGAATAAGCTAAGCCAAGTATGGGGAAACAAGACAAAAGGATGGCTCTTGATGTCATTGCTGTCCTCTCCTTTGATGATTTGTAACGTTTTTGAAGGCTGTAGTCCATTCGTTTCCTCATGTCTGGAGGACATCAATTCAGAAGAGCCGTTGTAAAGATTAAAATCTCTAATCAAATGACTTAATTCACTCTGGTCGAAACATTCACTGTGAAAAGTTATTTGAAAATCCTTATCATTACCCTATCATCACCCTCGATTGGTCTACCTTGTACAATGTATAACATGCAATACTTGTCCCCTGAGAGCTGTGGTAGTTTACAAAACGGAGAAAACAGACCTGTTTAACCTCAAACTCTTAAAATCGTACAATATCATCACAAAATCGTTTAATACATTATCTTATTAGTAAAAAATTAACATACAATATTTATAATGTATACCTCAAAATCGTACATTGTACTCCAAAATCGTAAGAGTAAACAGGGCTGAGAAAAGGATACAAAATCCGAGTGTGGTACATGTTTCCTGGCTGAAGCTAGATCCGAGTAAAGCAATTTGTCACAGTTGTTTTCGTTTAATACTTTGATATAAACAAGACTAAAATAAAAAGCCAATGTAGTCATTTTTGGTTCCCTCCATACAGACATGACTCCAATTTCATGAAGGTTCTCAACCATTCTCAACTTGAGCAAATTCTCCGTCCAAGTTTTACATGCAACACGAGGAGTCCACAGCATACCTAGATCTTCAAGCTTGGCACCAGATAACCTTCATATTTTTTTCTAAGCTTACCATCTAACAGGTTTCTTACTTGTTTGCAAGTTAAATCTGTGTGCATATGTTTTAAACAGATCAGGCTGAGAAGCTTTGGAAGTAATTTTGTCTTAAGAAAATCTAAATATTTTGCACATAATTATTCAATAAATAAGAACAAAGGCAATATTGCCCTTTAACCTTAACAGGTTCAGTTAAAGCCATTGTATAATAAAAGGAAGTAGACAAATGTCTTGAACTTTATACACACACAAAATGGTAGTAATTTAAATACGCATGTTTCCCATTTGAAGAAGAACGATTTATTGCAACGTCCAGACTCTGCACAATAGATGTCATATAGAGCAATTTCAACGGTGTATTACAAAATAGAGCTGTCGCAGCAAATCATCGCCTCAAATTACAGTAATAAAACCCAAGGCACCAAAAAAAAAAAATGGCGTGTTTTTGTGTTGGTTTTTTTTTGGGTTGGGGGGGGGGTGGTTCTGTTTGTGTTGGTCTTTGCAAATTATTTTTTTTAGGTCTTTCATTGAAATTCAAATTTTTTTCATTATGTCCTTGTGCAACAAAAGTGATGTGTACATTTTGTGGAGGATTTTTACATCATATTTCTTGATTACATACTTACTAATGCAGCAAATCATCGCCTCAAATTACAGTAATAAAACCCAAGGCACCAAAAAAAAAAATGGCGTGTTTTTGTGTTGGTTTTTTTTTGGGTTGGGGGGGGGGGTGGTTCTGTTTGTGTTGGTCTTTGCAAATTATTTTTGTTAGGTCTTTCATTGAAATTCAAATTTTTTTCATTATGTCCTTGTGCAACAAAAGTGATGTGTACATTTTGTGGAGGATTTTTACATCATATTTCTTGATAACATACTTACTAACTTCACCTCCTGGTTTATACCAATACCATAGTTATTATTCTATATTATTCTATATCTGTAGGCCAAAACATCACTAGACTAAACACCACTAGACCTCGCAATGCATTAGTTTTATACACTTCTAGGGCATCTATCATCTTCATTCGTCCCTCAGGTCACTATTACTAGTACATTTAATATACCCGGTATGTTGAACGTTTATAATTTATAGAGAAAGGCCAGCATATATTTAAGCGCATTCTTTTTGGTAATATTAATATCACACAAATCTGGACAACAAAGATTCGGCTACGGTACTCAAAAGTGAAAGTCAAACATATTATCTATTAAATTGGTGTTAAACATTTAACATGATGATTATGAGTAGCACGTCTAGGTTTTAAGTTGAATGCATGCAAGTACGATACTGTACAGTGTTAATGTACTGTAGTAACAGTGACCAGAGGCGTAGCTAAGGGGTGCCACATGGGACAGACTAACGGGGGTGCCAAAAATAGGCTTTGAACGAATTTAATGGTTGAAAATAATGGGTAGAGTTGAAGGGGGTGCGTAAAAATGTATCCTGACCCCCAAAAGCTCCAGCTACGCCCCTGCCAGGGGCGCAGAAATGGGGTGGTCCAGCCAAGGTGTCACTTTTTCTTAGATAGAGATGCGGGATTTTCGGACAATAGCAGAGCTTGTACCGTGAAATATAAGAATGCATTTTAGAAGATGGCTGAATTTAGTTTGTAACAATCTACGCTTCCCCAATTGGAAAGCAGCGGCAAAGATGCTAGTTACAAAATGTCGGCGTCACTTAACCTTCGAACCATCGTGTGAGCCAAACAATGCCGCTACGACTGCAGGGTGCCTCGGAGATTTCAGGAGCTTAAAGATGTCATGTGGTCGCTTTCTTCATTATCATGTAGCAGGGTGCCTCGGAGATTTCAGGAGCTTAAAGATGTCATGTGGTCGCTTTCTTCATTATCATGTGGCAGGGTGCCTCGGAGATTTCAGGAGCTTAAAGATGTCATGTGGTCGCTTTCTTCATTATCATGTGGCAGGGTGCCTCG